CTCCCTAACCTCCCCCCTCTCCCCCACACCCTGTCATTTTCTCTGCTGATGGCTCACACTCGTGTCTCCCGCCTCCACCCGTAGACGCTGTGGTCGGCGGCCTCGCAGCCTAATGATGATGACGATGATGGCGGAGGGAAAGTTTCTCGCTCTTAATTGCAGTTATCAGCTCGTTGATTAGTGCTGCATAAAACACCTGCATTGCACCTGTTTTCCCCCAAAACCTCTTCCTGCCGCTCGCTCCCTTTGTCTCCCAGCCTCACTCTGACTCACTTTATCTGCCTGTCCCACACAGGAGCCCCAGCTCCTTCAAAATAAAAGCTTTTCTCTAGAAAATCCTTGACTTGTGTGCTACACCTTCATTTTCTGGATTATTTAAGCAAACGTGCATCAGTGACCACCAGGACAACTTTCACAGTCGACTCAAACTCCCGCACTAACGAGCTCCACCAGTTTCAGCTCCTCCTGATTATTCCCGGGAAAACGAGGGCAGCATACTGAAAAGGTTTGTTTGATTTTTGCCAAAAATATTGTGAGAGTGAAGCTGCACAGATGATCATTTTTCAGATAAGAAAGAAAATGTATATAGAAACCTGCCAATGGGAGAGTCTGTAGTCAAACAGAGACCACTTTCCCTGGAAACCTGATCGTTAGTATAACTAGCAGAGGTGTTGGATTAGTGTGGTGAGCAGCGGCCAATAATAGTGAAGTAAAGTCAAAATTAAAGTCTCCAACGATCTCGGGATGCCGACTGCGTTACAGCAGCTTTGTTTGGGCCGAGCTTGGATTCACGGACATTTTATTTCAGTCCACACCTGAAGTGGAAACGCTCTCAGCAGAAAACCCGCCCACGGAAATGTGAGGCCTCGATCACCAGGCCTACAGACGAGGACCCCAGAGACACCAGTTGACGAGGTTTTGCAGACAAGTTGGAGTCTCCGTGCAAACTGCAGGCGACAGCATCAAAGCTAACACAGGGATGTTTCTGGTGCAGCCTTCTGTTCCAGCAACCATACACCAACTGGTTGGGAATCATTTTTCCTAGCAACTAGTGGTTGTTGGGAGGTTGCAAACCAGTCTCTGTGCCTGTCAGGGCTTGGTGTGCTTCAGCCACCTGCTGAACACACACATTTTTACACCCAAGAAGTTATTTCTCACGTGCAGTCATACACCTGGAGGCTGGTGAGCCGGTCAGCAGGCAGAGGAAACACTGTGGTGGAAGTAGGCGGGGCTAGCAGGTTGGCAGCAACTTGTTTTGGAAATAACAGCGAGGACATCGCTGATTATTTCTTCCAGACTGGTTAACGTCCACACCGGTGTAGATGTTAATCCGGTCGTTAAGTGATGACGTGACGAATCCTACTTCCGGGCCTAAAGTAGTCTGCGTTTAATATGGCTTTTGTGTTGTTAACATGTTTAATGTT